AAGAGTAGGCTTGGACCATTCGTTGTCTCTCTTCCTCTTTTCTCCCCAGCCTGACAGGATTAAAGGCCCACGAATCCCTTGGCTGTGGACTGAGTCTTTATACATTGGTCCTGAGATAGTCTGGGGATGTGGTGGGGTTGAATTTGTTTATGACATAGTAAAATGCCAGGGGTTGCCTTATTTCATTACTTGATTAAGGTCTATTATTTAAACTGCAACGTATCACTTACATACAAAACTGAATTGGAAAAGGGTGAAGTTGGATCTTTCTGTCGACAAGAAAACTATCAACTCTCACAAATTCATCAGTGAATTACAGAAACACAGTGGGATGTTTTTTCAACTCCTTTGGTGAAGGCTGTGCTAATTCTTTTGCAAATTATTTGAGAAGAATCTTGTGGGAGGGTATAGAACTGATTCATTGGCTTGCAGGAAGACTGATCTGACTTTCCTCTCCTGTGGTTGGCAGTAAATGCTTTTATTTAGTTTAGAGGAGAAAGGCTTTATAACCTCCCTTTTCCATGACTCATAACTTTCTGAGCAGTCACACTGTGCTTTACAATGAGGGGTGTTTGGAGGAAAATGTTATCTAAATTGAGCCAGCCATTTTGAGTGTGAGAGCATGAAATATACAAAGAGAAGCAATTGATCTGTACAAACTTCAAATTTGCAATGTGCCCAGATCCAAAGAACTAACTTTCCTGTTAAGAGGAAAGATACTTGGTGGCTATCTTAAAACAAACGAAATTAATTCTGGCTTTAAAGCTTTCAGACAGACATTTTCAACTTGCATAGGGTACGCATAATTTTAGGAAAAGTAGGTTGCTCTAGGCTAGATTGTCTTCTCTGTTGGTGGCTGTAAATGTGCATGAAAGCTATTTGTTTCTCATGTAAAATTGAATCTGTTGACATAAGCATTTTTTTTTGAAAGCTTGGAGATGTAAGTTTGCATGAAAGACTTCACTCAGTGTTGTCTGTTCCTGAGAACTTGAATTTAGTCGAACATGTTACTGTGAGATGAATAACAATTTGAAATCTTTTACATAGATTTTTCTCTAAATTTTTATCGGAATGGATTTGTAAAGGAGAGTTAAAAGTAAATGTCAATGGATTGGGGCCTGGGTTGAGAAGGCTCTAGGGTTGAAATATCATTTGGGAAGGGAATACTAGAGCTAAAATCATAATAGCTTGCATTTATCATCTCTCTTTTCATTGGTTACCTATTTCTGAATTCATAATCCGTTTCTTTCTTGATATTAGAAAATTACTGGAATTGGAAGACTAGAAAAATGTAGAAAAGATTATAAAATTAGATTCTTAGACTTAGGAATTGAAATATTAAAAGTTTTCACACAAATTTCATATCATTTATAACCTAGTAAAGCAAAGGAGGCATCACATTAAGGTTTATATAGGGTCCAAATTTGTTCATTTTCAACAACGTAATTTGAGGTTAAAAATTTCAGCTTTCTCTCTCTCTCTCTTTCTCTCTCCTCCCTCTGTCCTTCTGTCCTTCCCTCCCTCCCTTGCATCTTTCCTTCCTTTTCTTCAATAACGTTCAGACCTCTACAGTTTAGTGTCCCACAGAGTATGTTTAGCAGGCTCTCTTCAAAAATCAATGCAAAATATTACCTGCCCACACCCCCTGAAATTTGCATGCAAATGCCATACCTCTTTCACCAAGGATTGGAGGAGGGAGGAAAGGAAATTATGGATACATGGCTACTAAGTACATGTAATCATTGTACTCATTTGTCATATTGCTTCATTTGTATTTGGTCCAATCAGAAGAACTGGATTCTAGCCTTCGTTCTGCCTTTAACTGGCTGTTAACTTGTCCTGCTCCTTCACTTCTCTGAGTCAAGCTTTTCTCATCTGTTAAAATAAAATGGTTGGAATATGTGGTCAATGAAGACCCTTTCTGGATTCTGTGCACACTCTTAACTTCTCAGCCCTCTTTCTGGAGGCATTTTATTTTGTTTTCTGTCTGATTTCCCAGTGAGTGGAAGATTTCGCCTGTGGCTGACAGGATAAAAAGAAGTGAGGATTGGGTTCTTCAGAATTTTTCTTGAGGCACATGGGAAGCTGTTTTCTCAAAGCCAAGAGGTGGTCACGTTGAAGCATACCACTCACCACGTTATTAATCCAGACACATGGAAATTGTCCACATAGAAGTCATCTTTCTTTTTCTCTCTTTCTCTCACTTTCTCATTTTCTCTCTCCACCTCTTTCTCACCCTCCTATCCAGTCTCACTGCTTATTTTTACTTCTTAAATATTTCTTGCCTCTAACTTCTGTTTCCACTAACAATGCTCCAGATTGAGCCACCACCATCTCTTACCTAAATTCCAGCAGCAGCCTCATAACTGATTTTTCCACTGCCAGTCATGCCCTATCCATTTCCCTCAGAGTAGCTGGTGTGATCTCATTTTATTCCATTCTCTGCCTCATCCAGAGATGGCCTTCTTTCGACTCCTGCAGCATGCCAGCCTCTTCCTCTTATCAGGAAACATGCTATCCTCTTGATGCCAAAAGCTCGGCCTCTGTGCACCAGTGCCAAATCAAATCTCCGAGACAGAGTTTTGGGTGAAATAGAAAAAGATAGCTTTATTGCTTTGCCAGGCAAAGGGGGACAAAATGGGCTCCTGCCCTGAAAAACTATGTGTCCCAACCTGGGAGGATTTGATGAGGAGTTTTATAGCAACTGT